TCCCCAACAAGGAGACCATCGACATCCCCAAGAGGCGGATCCGTGTGAAGTCCGCACCATTTCGGGTTCCTCCACGTCCTGCTCATGTACCCTTCATGGCGGACGACCCGGACTACACTCCCGAGTCACTGGACAGCTCTATGGGACCATCCATGCCGGAGACCTCGACTGAACCTCAAGCCTTACCACCTGATCTACCTGGCACCTCAAGTCCAAGCGCTGATCCCGCAGCTGAAGATCCCAACAGCTATGAGCCAGACAACAAGAAGCAGCGTACCGACGGCTATGACCTGGGCTGGCTCGAGGAACTACACCAAGTTGAAGGTGATCTCCATCAGCTCCTCATCGACTCCCAGGAGGTGATGAAGATCGAGTTTGACGTTGACCTTAACTCCCACCGTAAGGAGAAGGACTTCCTCCGGGACGCCTCGGCCTTCATGGTCAAGAAGATGAGAGACAGCGAGGTTGTGCTCTCCCGCCTCTTGAACACAGGGAACTCTTCAGCAGAGCCAAGTCCAAGGAAGTCAGCAGCTTCATCAAATCGAGGCTGTTCGCAAGGCTCTGGACAACAAGGAGGTCAGCGAGGCCTTCGACTCTGGTCGCATCATGCGAGCCCGATGGGTTCTCACCTGGAAACCAACACCTCCAGAAGATCTTCAAGAAGCTCAAGCCGAGGCGAAATCCAACGCCAAGTCCACCTACACTAAGGACGGTCAACGCAAGGCAAAAGCACGCATTGTGCTTCTCGGCTACGAACATCCGGACCTTCTTCGGCCTGAGTTCAAGACCTCTAGCCCTGTGCAGTCTGGGCTGGGAAGAAACCTCCTGTACACCATGGCCTGCACTCACGGCTGGGAACTTGAAGGTCTCGATTTGGCCACTGCCTTCTTGCAGACGCAGCCCACAGAGGCGGATCAAGATCTGTGGACTCGCGGTGTATCAGAGCTTCGTGAAGCCCTGGATGTTCCAGCAGACGGAGTCATGAAGATCCTCAAGAACATCTACGGCTCAACGACCGCACCAAGGGGACTCTGGCTGGACCTTCACCGGCGCCTAGCCTCCATCGGCGGCAAACCACTCATTGGTGAACGCTGCATCTGGATCTGGCAGTCAGCCACGGAGAAGGACGCCTTCGGCATCCCCCTGGTACTTGGCATCATGGGCGGCCACGTGGATGATTTCCATCGCTGTGGCAATCGCCTCTCGCCTGAGTGGGTTCAGGTCTGTTCCCAGATCGACAAGCTCTACGAGTGGGGCACTGCCAAACGTGGCAACTACCGGCACGCCGGAACCGACCTGACCTCCATCATCAACAAGGACGGCTCCGTGGAGGTAAAGATCAATCAGCAGTACTACATCGACTCCATCGCCGATGTGAACATTGATCCCGATCGCCTTCGTCAAGAGAATGCGGTCATGAATCCTGAGGAGGTAGCTGCCTGCCGCACTACCTGGGGCAGTCTTCAATGGTTGGCCTTGCAGACTCAGCCGCAGCTCTGTGCCAGGTGCAACCTACTTGCATCTGAAATCACGACCAAGCGCCTCATGCAATCGGCGCTGGAACTTCAACAGCTAGTCGGCGAGATTCGCAAGCACGCCTACCAGCTGCACTACAAGAAACCACCTGGAGTCGAGTCATGGCGAGACATGGTGTTTGTGACCTTCTGCGACCAAGCCCACGCGAACCGCAGCAAGATGGACTCCACCGGCGGCTTGATCTCAGTTGCTACTGGACCTCATGCAAGCGAGGGCAAGGTCACACACATGGCACCCCTGGCATGGCGAAGCTGGAAGCTGCGCCGCAAGGCCATATCCTCAAATGATGCTGAAGTCCAGGCAATCCTGGATGGCGAGGACCAGAACTTCCGCATCCGCGTGCTCTGGTGCGAAATGAATGGAGCCGGTCACGATCTCACCCCACACGAAGACAGGGTGGAATGGGCTGAACGCATGGCCCGCGGCATCAAAGGCATTCTGGCCACCGACAGCAAAGGCGGCTACGATGCGGTGATCTACAACGAGTCACCAATGCTTGGGTTGAGCAACGCAAGAGCCGCGCTTCAAGCTCTTCAACTTCGGGAGCATCTCACCCGAACCGGAGCTGAACTTCGTTGGGTGGCCAGCGACTATGATCTCGGCGACGCCTTGACCAAGAAGAAAGCTGAGTGTCGCCTGGGTCTCACCAAGTTTCTTCAAACAGGCCTGTGGAGTGTTGCATACGACAACACCTTCACTTCAGCTCGCAAGAGCCACGGCCAAGGGCGTTCTGCCATCAAGGACGTGACGGCACATCAGCAACGGGATCAGCAGTTGAGAAAGGTTTTTGGCCCATGCGATTCCTTCGGTTGTGACATGTCAACTGTTGATCCACTGCTGCCACCATGGCCCTAGACAGAGGGGCCCCTTTGTCCGCTCGACACCGAGCCACGGTTGCGACCGCGCCAGTGGGCGCGTGGACATTCGATCTCAGCGCAAAGGTGCGCTTCGGCTGCTGCGAGCCTCCTTGACCCCGGTCATTGCAGAAAGCCCACTTTGCGTTGGATTCAAATGAAAACAACAACCCAAGCAAACCAACCAGTGTAACACAAGCTATACGCAAGAGATGCCTATGCAGAGCAAGCTTTGAAGTTCAATCGGGAACTCCCATTCAACAAGACTGCTGAGAGCAGGATGGCTCAGGATATGATGTTCAATATGTTTGTGTGTGTGCATGTGTGTGCATGTGTGCGCATGTGTGTGTGTGTGTGTGTGTGTGTGTGTATGTGTGTGTGCATGTGTGTGTGTATGCATGTGTCATGTCATGAGTGTGTAGGTGTTTCATTCCAACTGTGCAATTCCAGGATGCGATACTTTGTTTGGCCGGAATATACATGCGCATCAGCAGCTTTTGCTCAGGGCAAAGAGTTGCAGCTGAAGGAGCTGGACGTTTTGCGCGCAGACGTTGCGGAGAAGGATGCCTTGGTCGTCAGCTTGACGCAGGCCGTGCATACATGTGCAGGCCAATAATCTTATGTGCCGGAGTCAGTCTTAACGTATTTATCTATCGTTGATGTGAATCGTGAATAGTTGCTCAAGGACCTATCATCATGCAACTTTGCGACTTGACATGTCTTGCTGGATCACCGAGCGCTATGACTGGCATTGCCGTAGAGGGGCCATAGATTTGGATCCGCAAACAGTTGCGCAGGGGTAGCCTTGCGAGCCTTGGTTCAGGGCAATGAGTTGCAGCTGAAGCAGCTGGACGTTTTGCGCGCAGACGTTGCGGAGAAGGATGCCTTGGTCGTCAGCTTGACGCAGGCCGTGCAGACATGTGCAGGCCAATAATCTTATGTGCCGGAGTCAGTCTTAACGTATTTATCTATCGTTGACGTGAATCGTGAATAGTTGCTCAAGGACCTATCATCATGCCACTTTGCGACTTGACATGTCTTGCTGGATCACCGAGCGCCATGACTGGCATTGCCGTAGAGGGGCCATAGATTTGGATCCGCAAACAGTTGCGCAGGGGTAGCCTTGCGAGCCTTGGTTCAGGGCAATGAGTTGCAGCTGAAGCAGCTGGACGTTTTGCGCGCAGACGTTGCGGAGAAGGATGCCTTGGTCGTCAGCTTGACGCAGGCCGTGCAGACATGTGCAGGCCAATAATCTCATGTGCCAGAGTCAGTCTTAACGTATTTATCTATCGTTGACGTGAATCGTGAATAGTTGCTCAAGGACCTATCATCATGCCACTTTGCGACCTGACATGTCTTGCTGGATCACCGAGCGCCATGACTGGCATTGCCGTAGAGGGGCCATAGATTTGGATCCGCAAACAGTTGCGCAGGGGTAGCCTTGCGAGCCTTGGTTCAGGGCAAAGAGTTGCAGCTGAAGGAGCTGGACGTTTTGCTTGCAGACGTTGCTCAGAAGGATGCCTTGGTCGTCAGCTTGACGCAGGCCGTACAGAGACATGTGCAGGCCAACAATCAGTGTTAACGTATTTATCGTTAATGTGAATCATGATTACCTACTCAAGGACCTATCATCATGCCACTTTGCGACTTGACATGTCTTGCTGGATGACCGAGCGCCATGACTGGCAATGCCACAAGAGGGGCCATAGATTTGGATCCGCAAACAGTTGCACAGGGCAGCCTTGCGAGCCTTGGTTCAGGGCAATGAGTTGCAGCTGAAGCAGCTGGACGTTTTGCGCGCAGATGTTGCGGAGAAGGATGCCTTGGTCGTCAGCTTGACGCAGGCCGTGCATACATGTGCAGGCCAATAATCTCATGTGCCGGAGTCAGTCTTAACGTATTTATCTATCGTTGACGTGAATCGTGAATAGTTGCTCAAGGACCTATCATCATGCCACTTTGCGACTTGACATGTCTTGCTGGATCACCGAGCGCCATGACTGGCATTGCCGTAGAGGGGCCATAGATTTGGATCCGCAAACAGTTGCGCAGGGGTAGCTTTGCGAGCCTTGGTTCAGGGCAATGAGTTGCAGCTGAAGCAGCTGGACGTTTTGCGCGCAGATGTTGCGGAGAAGGATGCCTTGGTCGTCAGCTTGACGCAGGCCGTGCAGACATGTGCAGGCCAATAATCTTATGTGCCGGAGTCAGTCTTAACGTATTTATCTATCGTTGATGTGAATCGTGAATAGTTGCTCAAGGACCTATCATCATGCCACTTTGCGACTTGACATGTCTTGCTGGACCACCGAGCGCCATGACTGGCATTGCCGTAGAGGGGCCATAGATTTGGATTTGCAAACAGTTGCGCAGGGGTAGCCTTGCGAGCCTTGGTTCAGGGCAATGAGTTGCAGCTGAAGGAGCTGGACGTTTTGCGCGCAGACGTTGCGGAGAAGGATGCCTTGGTCGTTGGCTTCACGCAGGCCGTACAGACGGCCAGTAGTCTCATGTGTGTAAATGACTGAGGGCCACAACAGAGATTGCCACAAGAGTGACCGTAGATTTGCATCCGCAAACAGTTTCACAGGGGTAGCCTTGCGAACCTTGGTTCAGGGCAATGAGTTGCAGCTGAAGGAGCTGGACGTTTTGCGCGCAGACGTTGCGGAGAAAGATGCCTTGGTCGTCAGTTTGACGCAGGCCGTACAGACATGTGCAGGCCAATAGTCTCATGTGTGTAAACGTGCTGATCGTTGATGTGAATCAGGATTTCTGAAGGACGTAACATCATGCCACTTTGGGACTTGACATGTTTTGCTGGATGACCGAGCGCCAGATTTGCAGCCAAAAACTGTTGCGCAGGGGTCGCCTTGCGAGCCTTGGTTCAGGGCAAGGAGTTGCAGCTGAAGGAGCTGGACGTTCTGCGCGCAGACGCTGCGAAGAAGGATGCCTTGGTCGTCAGCTTGACGCAGGCCGTACAGACATATGCAGGCCAATAATCTCATTTGCCGCAGTCAGTCTTAACGTATTTATCGTTGATGTGAATCATGAATAGTTAGTCAAGGACCCATCAGCATGCCACTGTGCGACTTGACATGTCTTGCTGGTTCACCGAGCGCCACGACTGGCATTGCCAAATGACGGGCCTTGTAGATTGCATCCGCAAACAGTTGCACAGGGGCAGCCTTGCGAGCCTTGGTGCAGGGCAATGAGTTGCATCTGAAGGAGCTGGACGTTTTGCGTGCAGACGTTGCGGAGAAGGATGCCTTGGTCGTTGGCTTCACGCAGGCCGTACAGACGGCCAGTAGTCTCATGTGTGTAAACGTAGTGATCGTTGAGGTGAATCAGGAATTCTGAAGGACGTAACATCATGCCACTTTGCGATTTGACATGCCTTGCTGGATGACCGAGGGCCATAACAGACATTGCCACAAGAGTGACCGTAGATTTGCATCCGCAAACAGTTTCACAGGGGTAGCCTTGCGAGCCTTGGTTCAGGGCAAAGAGTTGCAGCTGAAGGAGCTGGACGTTTTGCGCGCAGACGTTGCGGAGAAGGATGCCTTGGTCGTCAGCTTGACGCAGGCCGTACAGACATATGCAGGCAAATAATCTCATTTGCCGCAGTCAGTCTTAACGTATTTATCGTTGATGTGAATCCTGAATAGTTAGTCAAGGACCCATCAGCATGCCACTGTGCGACTTGACATGTCTTGCTGGTTCACCGAGCGCCACGACTGGCATTGCCAAATGACGGGCCTTGTAGATTGCATCCGCAAACAGTTGCACAGGGGCAGCCTTGCGAGCCTTGGTGCAGGGCAATGAGTTGCAGCTGAAGGAGCTGGACGTTTTGCGTGCAGACGTTGCGGAGAAGGATGCCTTGGTCGTTGGCTTCACGCAGGCCGTACAGACGGCCAGTAGTCTCATGTGTGTAAACGTAGTGATCGTTGAGGTGAATCAGGAATTCTAAAGGACGTAACATCATGCCACTTTGCGATTTGACATGCCTTGCTGGATGACCGAGGGCCATAACAGACATTGCCACAAGAGTGACCGTAGATTTGCATCCGCAAACAGTTTCACAGGGGTAGCCTTGCGAGCCTTGGTTCAGGGCAAAGAGTTGCAGCTGAAGGAGCTGGACGTTTTGCGCGCAGACGTTGCGGAGAAGGATGCCTTGGTCGCCAGTTTGACGCAGGCCGTACAGACATGTGCAGGCCAATAGTCTCATGTGTGTAAACGTACTGATCGTTGATGTGAATCAGGATTTCTGAAGGACGTAACATCATGCCACTGTGCGACTTGACATGTCTTGCTGGTTCATCAAGCGCCATGTCTGGCAATGCCATAAGAGGGGCCGTAGATTTGCAGCCAAAAACAGTTGCACAGGGGCAGCCTTGCAAGCCTGATTCAGGGCAATGAGTTGCAGTTGAAGGAGCTGGACGTTTTGCGCGCAAACGTTGGGGAGAGAGATGCTGTGGTGCTTCGCCTGACGCAGGAGCATGTCATGGTGGCGCAATCATACTGCATGATGGACTGTAGGCTACAGCAGATAGATTCAGGCTGTCCAAGGTTTTCGGGTTTTTTGCTTTGCAGGTGCGCTGTGGGATGGTGTCGACCTGTCATTGGGCTATGTTTGGAAATCGCAGTTGGACTTGGAGTAGACCAGCAGGTGGCAGAACAGACAGCAAAAGCCTAAAGACAGGGCTCAATGAGCCTCGCCAATAGCGTCCAATAGCTAATGCTTATCTACACATTGTGTGCTTGGGTTTGCTTCCTAACGCACAAGTATTGAAGTGTTGCCGGTTGATGCAGGAGCGTGACTCCGTCCAGGTGGGGGCGAACCAGCTGCGCGCACGGCAAGCTTCGCTGCTTAAGGCCATGTTGGAGCACCACAGGGTACATGTCAGTGAGTTTGTTGAATGGGAAACCTCATGAATCCCCGCTGACTTTTGACGTCCACCAACAGCTCCGAGACCCATCACAATTCATAGCGGAGAGTTCTTCTTTGCCTCATGCGACATGGCTCAGGCGAGGGCCGCAGGATTGGAAGAGCTGGGCAGTTTGCGCGCAGAGGTCGCGGAGAAGGATGCCGTGATGCTTCGCCTGACGCAGGAGCAACTCGTGCGCGACAAACTGTAGGCGAGAGCAGGTAAGTGCAAGGCTTGGCTGGCAGAGGTGCGTTTGGGGTGTTTTTTTTAGGACTTTAGAGTGCAGGTAGTAGGGGCTCAGGACAGGGTTGAGGGACAGTTGCTGATGCTAACTGTTCATTGTGCGGTCTCCTGTAGTAGCTGAGGCACCGATTTGATCGGATTTCCGAATTGGGTTCACCACGTTTTGCCCTATGTTGATGTTGCAGGAGCGTGAGGACTTCCAGGCAGAAGCAAGCCAGCTGCGCGCACGGGAAGCTTCGCTGTTCGAGGCGAGAGAGTTGGAGCAGCAGATGAGATGTTTGTTCACTTAGCCGTGGCTTGTGCGTGGCTCAGGGGAAAGCTGCCGAATTGGAAGAGCTGGAGGCTTTACGCGCAGATGCTGCGGAGAAGGAAGCCTTAGTGGTTCGCCTGAAGAAGGCCGAACGGATATGTACAGGCTGTTTGATGTGCAGGAGTTTGTGTTTGGTCCAATGATGTTCAACATGAATAATGTATGCCGATGAAAGCATTTTTCGCACTGCCTTTCTCAGAAGAAGCTGTTGGGAGATCTTCAGCTGCCAGCTGTGGCTTGCACACCAACAGCCTGCGTTCAGGGCAATGAGTTGCAGCGGAAGGAGCTGGACGCTTTGCGCGCAGACGTTACGGAGAAGGACGCAGTTGTGATTTGCCTGACGAAGGAGCAGAAGCGCACCTGTGAGAGACTGTAGGCTACAGCAGGTATGTGCAACGGTTGGCTGGCAGAGTTGTTTTTTTTGTTTTTCAATTTATTTATAAAAAAGGAGAGCAGGTAGGGACCAGAAAGGTAGTAACTGCGAAAGACAGTGTTGGACGTCATAACGCCTATGCAAAGTAGTAAAGGGGTCCGAAAGAACCTGTGCGAAAGCCCAAACGCAGGCCGCGAGAGCTTGCGACAGCTCGCGCAAGTGCCAGAAGGTGCCGCCGCGAAAGCCCCGCGTTTGCCTGCACGTTGATGAGCGGGAGTTGTTTTACATAGTCTCATTGGGTGCACTTCCGTTTGTGGAACTTTTGCAGCACGCACTACCCTGCGCGTCAAGAGGAAACTGCAGCTTCTGAGCTCATGCAGTCCAAAGGGTGTGACAGTGCGCCGCGAAAACAATTCTAAAGAAAACGAAGCCGGCAAAGGCAAAAACATGGGGTCGCGAAAGCATCGCGAAAGGGTTCGCCAAATCAAGTTCATAGTACCGCTTTGCACGGCTCAATTGTTTTATTGTGCCATCTCGTCCAGTGGCTTAATTAGGCCTGGACCGATTTGATCGGATTTCCGAATATGGGTTCACTGGGTTCACCACGTTTTGCCCTATGTTGATGTTGCAGGAGCGTGAGGACTTCCAGGCAGAAGCAAGCCAGCTGCGCGCACAGAAAGCTTCGCTGTTCGAGGCGAGAGAGTTGGAGCAGCAGATGCGATGTTTGTTCACTTAGCCGTGGCTTGTGCGTTGCTCAGGGGAAAGCCGCGGAATTGGAAGAGCTGGAGGCTTTACGCGCAGATGCTGCTCAGAAGGAAGCCTTGGTGGATCGCCTGAAGAAGGCCGAACAGATATGTACCGACTATTTGACGTGCAGGAGTTAGAGTTTGGTTCATTGATGTTCATTGAACAATGAAAGCTGATGAAGGATTTTGTTGCATGATGCAGCGACTTTGGGGTTCCAAACATGGTTAGCGACTGCAATGACTGCCTTTCTCAGAAGAGGATGTTTGTAGACTTCAGCTGCCAGCTGCGGCTTGCGCACGTTTGGGGTTGTTTTTGGGACCAGAGGCAGTAAGGGCGCAGGACAGGGTCGAGGTGCAATCGCTGCCAGGCAAGTTCTGTTGCTGAGGCATAGGGCTTGGCCAGATGTCTGACGGGCGTTCACCACGTTTTGCCCTATATTGATGTTGCAGGAGCGTGAGGACTTCCAGGCAGAAGCAAGCCAGCTGCGCGCACGGGAAGCTTCGCTGTTCGAGGCGAGAGAGTTGGAGCAGCAGATGCGATGTTTGTTCACTTAGCCGTGGCTTGTGCGTTGCTCAGGGGAAAGCCGCGGAATTGGAAGAGCTGGAGGCTTTACGCGCAGATGCTGCTCAGAAGGAAGCCTTGGTGGATCGCCTGAAGAAGGCCGAACAGATATGTACCGACTATTTGACGTGCAGGAGTTAGAGTTTGGTTCATTGATGTTCATTGAACAATGAAAGCTGATGAAGGATTTTGTTGCATGATGCAGCGACTTTGGGGTTCCAAACATGGTTAGCGACTGCAATGACTGCCTTTCTCAGAAGAGGATGCTTGTAGACTTCAGCTGCCAGCTGCGGCTTGCGCACGTTTGGGGTTGTTTTTGGGACCAGAGGCAGTAAGGGCGCAGGACAGGGTCGAGGTGCAATCGCTGCCAAGCAAGTTCTGTTGCTGAGGCATAGGGCTTGGCCAGATGTCTGACGGGCGTTCACCACGTTTTGCCCTATATTGATGTTGCAGGAGCGTGAGGACTTCCAGGCAGAAGCAAGCCAGCTGCGCGCACGGGAAGCTTCGCTGTTCGAGGCGAGAGAGTTGGAGCAGCAGATGCGATGTTTGTTCACTTAGCCGTGGCTTGTGCGTTGCTCAGGGGACAGCCGCCGAATTGGAAGAGCTGGAGGCTTTACGCGCAGATGCTGCGGAGAAGGAAGCCTTGGTGGCTCGCCTGAAGAAGGCCGAACAGATATGCGATGCATTACCATTCGCTGCGCAGTTGGTGTTAAGTGACCACACGAAGTTGCACCAGGCAGCCTTGGCTCCGGGCAATGAGTTTCAGCTGAAGGAGCTTGACCTTTTGCGCACAGACGTTGCAGAGAAGGATGCCTTGGTGGTTCGCCTGACGCAGGAGCACGGTAGGGTTTTCGGAGAAAGGCATGCATGATGGCCTTGGTTTGTAGGTCACAGCGAGTTGAGCAGGGTTTGTGTGGGTGTGTGTGCTTGGGTTTCGTCTTGTTGCGGCGTTTGTTTGCGCTATGTTTGCACATAGCTGTGGACAAAAAGCGCAAAGCTGAAACAAGGCTGCCTGACATGCCCCGACACCAGTCAACGCGTTGTACACAGCTGGGGTGTCGGCAATTTCTGAAGTGGCCATGGTTCAAAACCAATGGTACCATTTGGGATAGGTGCACCACCCATTTTAGCCTATTTTCGTGGGGATTGGGATGTTCACTGGGGGTACGGGGTTTTGACCCATGGCCAAGTGAGTGCCTTGAACGGAGCTATCACTGTTAGGAGTGCGAGGCCTTGCTGGGTCGCCTGGCGCAGGCCGTGTCTTGCGTTGCCGACCGGGCCATTGCCATGCTGCAGGTGGGTATGGCTCAAAATTAAAGAGCTGGGGTTACGTTACGCTGGTTTTAGTCTTGGGTTCCAGGTGCTTGGTGGATCTTCGGCTGTTTGCAGTGGCCTGCACACCGTTGGCCTTGCTCAGGGCAACGAGTTTCAGCTGAAGGAGCTCGAAATTTTGCGCGCAGAGATTGCGGAGAAGGATGCCTTGGTAGTTCGCCTGACGCAGGAGCTGCGTAGGGTGGTAGAGAAAAGCATGCATGCTGGTTTGTAGGCTGCCGCAGGAAGTTCAACGTCCGACTGTCCAAGGTTGTATTTTTTGATGGAGTTTATTGTAAACGCTTCGCGTTGCCCGCCTCGGCCCAGCCTAGTTTGAGGGAAGGGTCAGGAACACCGAAGGCATGGGTGGGTTGCTGGCTGCCGGGCAGCCGGACTACGCTGCTGGTTGGGCCTGGAACTTGGGCTGGGCGGGCTGGGGTGAGCTGTGCTTGGGCGGGTCGCTGGATGGGTACACACTTGGGCCTGAGGCTGGGTAGCGAGTTGCTGGCTGGGCTGGGCCTGAGGCCAGTCGCAGACACGTAAGACACGCCAGCAGGCGGGCTGAGGGACTGGGCCTGAGGCTAGTCTCAGGCTGGCACCTTGAGACCAGTCTCAGACTGCGCCGAAGGGGCTGGGCCTGCTGGATGACTTGGGGCCAGACACGAGCAGGAGGTCAAGGCCTGCTCAGCCCCGGCCACCAGGCGCACCCCCCCGGCCGCGCCGCCAGCGATACTCCCTGATGTCGGTGCTGACAACGCTGGAAGCGCACCCCCAGACTTCCATATTGCTAGATTTGGGGAGGGGGGGGGTGCTTATTATATAGGAATTAGTACTGGCCGAATTTATGACGCTTGTTACCACCCCCCTGGCGATGCCCCAAGATGACTTTTCTCAATCCAGCGGGGGGTGGTAATAGAGCGCGCGCCCGAAAGATTTTCGGGCGCGCGCGAGAGAGAGAGAGAGAGAGAGAGCCTCTGTGATGAGTAGGCCGCGATTTTCCGACGCGTAGTCGGGCAGCCGGACTGGGGGGCTGGGGCACGTCAGACAGGCTTAGTAGCTGGCATAGCTTGAGATCTCAGGTGAGACTGGTCGTTGGCCTGAGGCCAGTCTCAGACACGTTAGACAAACCTGACCTTGGCACGCTGGGCTGAGCCTGCTGGTGCGCTGAAAACTGGGGGCCGGCCTAGAGCTGTGCTTGGGCGGGTTGCTGGACCTGAGGCTGGGTGGCGAGTTGCTGGCTGGGCTGGGCCTGAGGCCAGTCGCAGACACGTAAGACATGCCAGGAAGCGGGCTGAGGGACTGGGCCTGAGGCTAGTCTCCGGCGCAGTGTGAGGGGCTGGGCTGGATGACTTGGGGCCAGACGTGAGCAGGGGCCAGCCTGGGCTGAGCTGCTGGGCAGCCGGACTGAGGGGCTGGGGCACGTCAGACAGGCTTAGTAGCTGGCATTTGAAACCAGTCTCAGACACGTGAGACTGGGCTGGGCTTGCTGGATGACTTGGGGCCGTGCTTGGGCGGGTTGCTGGTTGGCTAGGCCTGTTTCAGGCAAGCTTGGCCAGCAGGCGGGGCTGCCCTCAGCCTAGTCTCAGATTTTCGACAAAAATGGACCCATGGAGCTGGACGCCGACGAACCCCGAAAATTTCAAGGCCCGCCGGACAGGATTTTGGGCCAGCCGACATGGGTGGGCGGGGGGGCGGGCTGGGGAAAAGCAAAGATTCTCTTTGAAGAGATCTGGGCTTTGAGTACAGGTAGGGGCAGAAGGCCATCGGATGTCCGAGGTTTGCCTAGTGTTTGAAGGGGAACCCGAAGCCCCAATTGTTTGGCTCGAAAAACCGGTACCAAAATGGAACCCTGGCAAGTAGAAACAAAGGCCAAAACCTGCGTAACCCCTCCTTAATTTTGAGCCACACCCAATTGGGTTCTGTCGGTTTCCCTTCAAACCCCAGGAGAGCGAGGCCAGCCGGGAGGCTTTCCGCACGAACAGCTGGGAAGAGCTGGAAGCTTTGCGGGGCGAGAAGGATGGCTTGATGATGCGTGTGACACAGGCAGGGTTGCGCGTTGTTTCCCGTGTAAAACGACTAGTATAGATAGGAATTCAACAAAGCCAATGATTTGATGTAAAGCTGGTCACTTGATGGGATCCAGCACATTGTCCATGGAATCCCTTTCTTTGCAAATGTGCAGCTGCCAGCGGCTGCCAGAGTTGCATCGGCCGCGGTGGCTGTCGCTCAGGCCGACTTTCAGCTTCAGCAGCTCGACGTTCTTCGCGCAGAGCTGGCTGAGAGGGACGCCTTGGTGGCTCGCTTGACGCAGGAGGGCACCTTGGACACAGCCAGCCAGCTTGTGTTGACCCAGGTTTCATCAACTTTGGTTGATTAATAGGATGTTCGAGTCAAGAGGGGGTCCTTCCATGTTTTGCAGGGAACATACAAACAACCTTCAACCCTTATGCAGGGGAGCTTCTTACGGAATGATAAGAGTACTGGGCGAGTGGTTGACAAAGATTTTGCAATTAAAAAGAGATTGGTCCCATCGAACCTTGCAAAAGCAGAGGTATGCCTCCCAAGGATACTGAAGCTTGCTTTTTCCCTATACGCGAGTTGCTTTGTCAAGGTCGCTTATTTCTGTTGACGCTTGTTGACTTTGCCTGTTGCATTTTCTGTGCTGGAGGGATGACCACCCGGGCTCAAGCAAACCGCTCTTGCTTCCACAGACAGCTGTGAGGCAGACCTTACAACTAAACGTGCAGGTTCACTAAACAAGCTACTATTTCTGTTTCTGGAAATGCCCGTTTTGGGTGAAGGAGCGTTGATCAATGCCCACGTCAATTGCATAACACATACAGACCTAGGAATGACTGACAACGATCCTGCCGCCTCAATCCTGAGGGGAGGTCCTGTGAGGTTCAGTCAAACAATCCTGCGTTGGCAGGGACGGACATAAGCGGATTCTTCAAACTCCCGACAAATGCAGGGGGGACGCAAGTTTTCCAGTTCTGCTGAAGGAGCCGCGTATTTTTGAAAGAGTCGCGACGTTTCAGCCTTTCGGGTTTTTACGAGGTCCTATTTGGGTGTTCCTCAGGATAGGAATCGGTCCCCAATAGTGAAACTGGTGTCCTTTCTCGGACTTCAAGTGAAACACCAACCCAACAGGATCCAAAGTCCATGTTGAGAGTCTCCCCTTCCCGGATTCCTCGCCGGTGAGTTGACCGGCCCGCAGGACTGCCAGACGGAGGCGAAGGCACTCCAGCCCGCGGACGCGCAACCCTCGCAGGAGGCCAGCAGGTGGAACCTTTTGGGCCTTGAAATGAAATGGGTGTGTATGCTTTTTTGAAGGTACCCTTTTGGGTTTTGGGTGTCCCTCTATTTTGACACATACCCAAAAGCCCTTCCAAATGAGATGTTGCAGCAATTTGCAAGGTGGCATTGGAGTCCCTCAAGTACTGAGAAATTCCCGTTCGGCATTGGGATTTGCGTGTGTTGCCAGCAAGGCTATTTGTTCCTTGCCTGGGATGTACGCCAGGAAGGCGCGGACGAGATGGAGGCCTTGCACATAGAGGTGGCAGAGAAAGATGCCCTGCTCGCCCGAGCAACGCAGGCAGGGCCTTGAGAAAGTCAGCTACTTGGGATCGCAACGTGCCTTTTTGCCCTGGCACGACCCTGAAGTATTGGAATTGCATGGGATTGATTTGATGGTGTATAAGCGACACACGCTTTTCAAAGGT